CCCCCCCCCCCCCCCCCCCGCCCGCCCCTCCACCCCGCCCCGCCCCATCCCCTCCGCCAATCAAATCCTAAACTCTGCACAAATCTAATTTGACAAGTCGGCGAAAACGAAATCACTCGATTCTCTTCAATTACCATCTCGGGGGCATAATATTTCACTCGCCTCTTCATTTTCTCGCTCGAGACTCCTCTTCTCTTCTCTTCTCCCCCTTCGCCGCTTCACGGCCCGTCTAATGCGCGATCTTAATATTACGCCGAGGTGCGCATACGTCGACGACCAACAGCATTGAACACCACCTCGATCTTATTGAGAAATCGATCGTCCTTGCAACAACTCGGTGCTCCGCAATTATGAATAAGCTATAGAGTATACGATTCGCCTATCGGACTCGCTCGGCAGGCTCGCACGACAAAACTTACGCATCGAGAAACAGGAGAAAAAAGAAGGAGCTCGCCGATGGCTAAAGGAACAGTGCAACCAAAACACACACAAAAAAAAAAACAAAACAAAAAAAAAGAAACTAGAATAATAATTAATAGAAAGAGAAAAACAACAAAAAATATAAAATGAGAGAAAAAAAAATAATGAAAAAACAAAACGAACAGCTGGTAAAAAGGCGCGTGCCGTCTCCTTGAAGCCGACAGAGTGAGTAAGAGCGAGGCTAATCGTCTCTCACGTGTACCGCGGTAACGAACGAACCGTTATATCGTTGTATCTTGGGGGGCTCGCCCCCGCTACCTCAGGTACACAGCACAATCATCGTTGTTCACTATCTTTATGTGATCTTGATGCATCGGATGGGCAGTGCGGACGCTGCGCTCCCTCCCTCGTTCCTTGTGTTCGCGGTTGTTTTGTCGAGCTCTTTATTCTCTGCGAGCCGCTCTCGATCCTGCCGCACTAACGTCGGCGGCGCGTGTTGTTTTCCTCTTTTTGGAAATTGACCGTAAAGCTTGATTTAGATTTGAAGCGGAACTTTGCCGCTCATACGACACTTTTAGAGCTTTATACGTCGATTTATTTATCTTAAGATTATAGACTTAATTAACGAATTTTTTTCCCATTAGCGTACATCTTAATTGCCTTTCAATGGTGCATTACGGCTACTTAAATGCGTGTTTAATATGTGGTATGCTGTAAGTACTCTGAGAATTAAATTATTCAAAATAGTCTCGAGACGTCATGCTGTGCTTAGTTGGCAAAACTCTACCAATTAACATAATTGTGTCAATGCTGCGCTTATTAAAAAAAAAAAAAAAAAAAAAGCTATTTTTCTTTCTAAAAACAGTCGTTATATCGAAATATATATATATATATATATATATATATATATATATAGAGTGAATCACCTTTGAAACATATATAATTTTAACTGGCAATTATAAGCAATCATAATAACTATATTTTGTTAAATTGTTGGTTTTCTTTCTTTTTTCTTTTTTTTGTTTTTTTTTTGCGAATATCACTTTATCCTGTTTTTAAGATTTTTCGTATAGAAAATTTAAAGTTCGCGTTCGGTGGGCTGCTTTAGCTTAATTTTATTTCGAAACGAAAAGAGCACCGAAAGCGCTTATGATTAATATTATAAAATTATAAAACATCATGAGATTATTATATTTTAAATAAGTTGAAGCTAAATGAAAACGTTAGTTCTGTTTTATTTATTTACTTTTTTTTTTCATCTTCGATCTTTTGTTAATGTTATTTATAGTTTTCCACGTATATTCAGAAATATTCCATAAATTTTCTATAAATTTTCTATAAATTTTCCATTTATCGTAAGACGACGATAGGTCGAGAAATCCATACGTATCCATAATAAAAAGTTAGAAAAAAAGTTACAATGACTACTTTAAAAGAAAAACGTAATTATGTTTTTTTTATATATTGTCATAAATTATACTCGTGAAACGATTTTCAATCGGTCGAAAGAATATTTTATAGTTTGCATATTTTCTATCTAACGATACTTGTCCGTTATATTTTATATAATATTTACTTATATATTGATAAATTTTTTTTTTCAGCATAATTTTATAAAATTACGCACGATTACTAATTACATAAACAGTTATGTAAGAAAGAATTAATAATTTTAAGAAATCAATCGACGCCACTTCTTACATTCTCTCAAGTTAAATTGTTCATTGTATCACGAATGTTTCACTCACATCAATTAAGAATAGATACTTGGACTCTATTTTTAATATAATTTTGAAGCGAACGAGGAAGTATGTATTTTAATTAATTTTTTTTAGCTAATTGACGCTAAGCCGTCACCAACAATGAATCACCACGGTCTACCGATGGTCGAATCTTCTTGCACCTAAAGAATGCATCCGAATGATTATAAGACGCGTCGATTAATTTCTTAAGACGATATCGATGTAAGGCGAATTTTCGACATTTCCTTCCTTTACTTCCTCCATCGAGTTGAGTATGAAAGCGAAGGCAATATTGAGTAGAGGGTAGCAACCGTGGAACGGCACATACTCGCACACATAAACCGTACGGCGTAAGAATCACACTCGCGCACTCATCGTCCGACGATTCGGACGCATTGCTCTCGAGGAGTAGTACTTGGCCCACTTATGCAAAGCCGCGTACCGTGTACCCATTGCTACGGTGACTTGCCGAGCTGGACGAGTGTCTTAGCTCGCGATTATGATCGACGACGATTGATTTCGCCTCGACATTCGCACTACCTAGGACAGACGGTGCCGTCAATTATCTCTGCGGACGCCGCGAAAGAAGTGGCGCACCAATTGTAAAGAAGAGCGTTAGCCGAAGGTGCCACTATTATATATATATATATATATATATATAATATATATATAAATACGAAAAATATATAAATTCCATATATATATATATATATGGAAAATATGCCTCGTTGAAAGCTTCTGCACGCCAATTCTAGGCTCATCTATGGCTCATCGAGGCATGCCTGATAAATCCATTACTCTTGGGCGTTTATCGATCATTTAATGGATATGTAAACAGCAAGACGGAATTGTAGAATTTGGATTTATGAGGGATCATATGGGCATTTATAAGCTATTGCATTGTAATAATTATAAGATATAATTGTGATAATTATAGAGGCACTTTTAACCTATCGTATTTATTGAATAAAGCAATAAATCAATTATAAATTGACGATATTGGCTAATAAGTTGAGTATAAAATAATGAATAGCTAAATTCTTTGTGAATTTATTTTTAACTTTGATGGTAAATAAGTAAAATTCATTTCCGTGCTTCAACAACAAAAGCCTTACTTCACTCTCATGTGTGCTCGTGTATTTCTGACTTACAAAGTCATTCCCATTTTCCACGCATTATTTTCTTTTATTCTCAATCTAAGCGTAAAGGGTCGTTATCTAACGGAAATGGGGTTCGCCTTTACCGCGATTGTCCTTACCTAATTGCCAAGAGCCCCTGTATTGCTCAATTCACAATTGTTCCACATGAATGTCTCGGATTAGAATTTAGTTCTCCAATTAGATTGGAATAAAGTTATCTTTATTGGATGACTCTGCGCCATCAATTATCGAATACTCCTTAAATTTGTCTCCTTTCAATTTCATAAACGACAAACTCTTTCGTATTAACAAATTATTACAACGATATTGGACATCTCTTTATCTTTTGTTTTTCTTCTGTGCAGAATGGATATCCAGCAAGACGTCGTTCCCTTGTAGACGATGCTCGCTTTGAATCATTAGTTGTCAAACAAACGAAGCAAAGTGTATTGGAAGAGGCACGTCAGCGAGCCAACGGTAAGTCGAATTTATCGCTTTCTAAGCACGAGTTCGGTGTTACTTAATTGTTTATTTATACGCACCGTTGATACGCGCATCGTGAACAATAATGATAAATGATGCATTATAAGTTTTAATCAATGTATGCGCTGAAATGTATTTTTATGTAAAAAAATTTATTTTTAGACAAATGTTTAGGAATTTTAATAATTTATTAATATACATATACATGTACATACGCATACACACGCACGCACGCACGCGCACACACACACACACACGCACACGCACACGCGCACATAAATAATTTTAAGATTTATAATTGCTTGTATTATTAAACGAAAATATAAACATCATTTGTTTGGTAGAAAGGTAGTAGTAAAATTTGTTATCAATAGTCTAAAAGTACGTTTGAATATCTTTATAATCGCGCGACATAAGCGTTGCATGTGATATTTTGTTGCTTGTAACATTAGATTCAACTGATCCTGAAATCAATGATCAAATCCAGAATGATCAGCCATTTGAAACTTCATCGGGATCCTCGAGTGATGACGATCAGCAAGAAACTCTCGCTTGTGCAGCGAAAGAAGGCGGTATGCATCTTATTAAACATTTACGTTAAGAGTAGCTTTTGACTATTATTATTTAACTTTTGAGCAGCTATATTTGGCACGAGCATGAGTATTTGTTATATAATTTCCAGAAGCCAAAGCTGAAGCATCATCGTCAGATGGCGAGGAGAAAGAGTACGGTGGTAAGCACTAAAAGTCAGCTAATTAGTATTTGAAGTCATTGTATAGGGAAAATACAGTGTAAAACATTTTTGTCACAAGATCAATTGTAAATGTATCCGAGTAGATTGTATGAGAGCGTCAAGGGTGCTTAGCTTAACTTTAAATTATTTTGAGTTATAGATTTACGTTACGTTGGTCTATCATCGACCTTCCTTTGTCATATTGCGTAAACGTCAATATGCACCAAAAAATTTCTTTAATTTTCACTTTTAAATTTTACGAGCTCATATCAAAACATAAATTATATTTAACATTTATAATTTGTACATGTTATTATAAAAGTTCTTTTTTTCTCTGTACAGTATTTTCATTGAGAATTGCCTTATTTGAGAAAAACGTATTTTACAATATTTATATAAAAGCATTAATTTGGAATTTATTTTATTATATATAACATAACTATGAGAATAAAAACGTTTCAGTCTATTTTATTCGGCTAAGAATGTCGATATATTTTTATTTCAATATGCCTGAAAGAAATCAATAACACTTTAATAATTTGTAAAAATTTTTAAAATAAAATTTCTTTATTTCTTTTCCTTTTGACCTTTTTTCACATATCTATATATCAATATATATATATATATATATATATATATATATACAAATATATAATTTTTATCCGAGCAATTGACGTTATCGCTGTATTTACTTTCATACGCCACCACGACTTTATTTACGTTTCAAATTGTAAAAGTTCATACGCTATTGGTAGGTGGATAAAGTATATGAAGCATTTAATGTCTTTTTATTCTTTGCGTCACTGCCGATTTTTTGTCGCTTTGCTATCGCATTCACTTGGATGGAAGCACTCAACTCCCTTTCTCCAACACATTTATTACCTTTGATGCGCGAAAATGGATTTAAAATAGTCTCATAACTAGACTAAAAGTCTTTGAAATGTGTCGATTCGTTTCAACGTAATTCTAAAATTATCTCCCCCACTTTCTATTTTAATCGAAAAACTTTTTTTTATAGCGAGGTAGGGTTTTTATTGAAAATTTGCTTGAAATTTGTGTAATTATTAGACAATTTACAGTTTCGCTCATTTACAAATATGTGGCTTTTTCTTTTTCGTTTTTCTTTTTTCTTCTATCGTTTCATTTACGTCGAACAAAAATTTACCTACTCATATTAAAATATACTTGATTTCCTACGACAATATATTTTAATTCGTGAAAAAATAAAAATGAAAGGATCGAGCCAAATAATCACCCACAGCAACAGAAAGAATACTTCATATACAATTAGGAAAGAATATTCTATATGAACGTGCACTATCGATGTAATCTAACGTGGCCCGGCATATTGCTTAATAATTATAGATTTTGGATTAACGGAGGAAGAGATTGTCCTGGCGCGCTCGATTGCCGAGAATCCTGACGATCAATCGATACAGACGGCCGCAATGGTTTTGCGCCTACGCGAAGGTATGACAGCATTGCCACGGATTTTGAAGACCATCGAGAACTTTAAAGGTCAAGTAGCTCATATTGAAACTCGTCCCTCCAAGAAGGATGGACAATTTGACGTGTTGGTGAAAGTGAACATGAATCGTCAGAATCTGTCATCGCTGATTAGAAATCTACGTCAAGGCTCGTCCCTTGGTGGCTTGACACTGCTCGCTGAGAATAATATCGCAGTAACGGTTAAAGATCCCTGGTTTCCACGTCACGCTTCCGATCTTGACAATTGCAATCATTTGATGACGAAATACGAGCCAGATCTTGATATGAGCCACCCTGGCTTCGCCGATAAGGAATACAGAGCGCGCAGGTAAGATTTTTGCCGATTGATTATTGATTTATAAGAATATCCGCACTGTAGTATTGTCGCCGCGAACGAAACGCCGTAAGAAAATTTCATTTACATCGTCGATTGTTAAATAATTTTTTCGTCGCACGAAGAGATGTTTGTGCTTTTTTCTATCATTCTTTTTTTCTTTACTCTATTAAAGTACATTTTACCATATGAATTTGACGCCATCTTTTATTAGGAAATTCATCGCCGAGGTTGCATTCGCCTACAGGTATGGCGATCCAATTCCCAATATCCCATACACCGAAACTGAGAATGAGACTTGGAAACGTGTATTCAACACTTTGGTCGATCTTGTACCCAAGTATGCCTGCAAAGAATATTATACTAATTTCGAAAAGCTACGTGAGGAGAAAATTTTCAAGTCAGACTGCGTGCCACAGCTTGTAGAAGTGAGTAACTTCTTGAAGAAAAATACGGGATTCACGCTGCGTCCTGCTGCCGGACTTCTCACTGCTCGAGATTTCTTATCGAGCCTCGCTTTTAGAATATTCCAAAGCACTCAGTACATCCGCCACATTAATAGTCCCTACCATACGCCAGAACCGTGAGTACATGCTACAAAGCATTTTCATTATCTTAATTTTCAATTTTAATGTCAATAGTTCCATTCGAGCATCGATGCTAGGCATAAATTTTAGGTACCTACTATTCGCCTTCTTTTACGTAACGTTAATATTTTCAACATAGATAGATGCTTTGCTGCGTGAAAAATTATGAAAGTGAAAAATTTTCAATTTTATGGTACAATTCGTGTTCTAATAACATTTTTAACAACATTTTTAACTACTCTCATTAGAAGCACCGACGTGATTATTGACTTTTGTGTACAGAGTGGCAATAATTAGGGTTATCCATAGAAATGACAATACTCCCGATGGGTTATTTTTATAGAATTTTATATACACAAAGTGGGACAATGATATTCTTGAAAATTCTTAAAATTACCCTTCGTAGCGATAATATGTTTAACGAGCTTTGAAAATGCGCATTCAAAAATACTCAAGTTCGAGATGATAAGTGGAAGAATGCTGTTGCCTTGCGCTAGTTATTACTAGTTATTACTAGACGAGAATTCAATTTATATTTGCAAGTAATCAGCACGAAATGAAGCGTCAAAATAATAATGACTTTGTGAAATTTAATATAATCAAAGTGCCTAATAAAGTATAAAATACGAGGCGCGGGGCCAGCCTGACTACGACTGAAATAGCCGTCCAAAGTGGCATCTTTTGCTCGTTCGCTCGTCCGTTGGTTCACAGAGAGAACGATAATAATAATATTAACGCATCTCTCTAAGCTTGTGATGGAACTCTAATTGGCTTTTAACGATACTATGGCGTTGATAATTCACTTCTCGTGGCAAAAGCACAAAGTAGCGAATATCGTTCTTCCTCTTGCACGGGTCGATGCAATTTAACTTGGGAATTCTGATTTTGCAATACATGTGCCAAGCTTCTGATCGATCAAAATCTAACGTACAGCCCAATTTGAAATGTTATTGATTTAACGAGCAAACATAATAGGGTAAAGTAAGCTATCGCATGGTGTTAGGAAAATATGTATTATGTATTGTGTACGTGACATTCAGGGTTCAATAGAGTTACAAAGTTAGCGCGTTATTAATTGGAAGTCGCTTTGCTTATTCGTACATAAAAATGATTATTTCCCAGTAGAATTAAGCGATTTAATGCTTTATTATACAATCAGATTGTACAATCGTAAGATAAAATACGCCCATTGTGGTATATAAATATAAATTAAAGTCACGAGTTATCGGTGTGGGGCGGTGCGGGGCGGAGCGGGGGGTTGTGGTGGTGGTGGTAAAATAAAAAATAAAAAAAAAAAATAAAAAAACAAACAACAACAACAACAACAATAGCAAAAATAAAAAAAATTATCAAAATACGCGCTTGAAAGTCAAACTAGCGATGAAAAATCATTAAATTCGATTACCAATAGCGACGCGATCCACGAACTTCTTGGGCATATGCCGCTGCTGGCCGATCCGAGTTTCGCTCAATTTTCTCAAGAAATTGGCTTAGCCTCTCTGGGCGCCAGTGACGAGGAGATCGAAAAGCTTTCGACGATATACTGGTTCACCGTCGAGTTTGGCTTATGTAAAGAAGGCAGTGACACCAAAGCCTATGGGGCCGGCTTACTTTCGGCTTATGGTGAGCTCCTGCACTCGTTGGGTGACACATGCGAGCATCGGCCATTCGAGCCCTCAACGACCGCTGTGCAGCCATATCAGGTAAGCATAGCCTATTCCCCCGAGTCATTACTCAATAAACGTAATTGTCTTGTGATCTTTCATAAGCCAATTTGCTAGCTCATAAGTAGTAAGAAAGCTATAGCTCAATGTTCTGTGAATTTATCGCGTTACTTAATGTACTGTCGCTGATACAGCCAGACCCAACCCGAGCCACCAGTAATGACCGTATCGTCTGTTATTGTTAATCAGGACCAGGACTACCAGCCAATTTATTACGTGGCCAATAGCTTCGAAGACGCGAAGGAGAAGTTCCGTCGTTGGGTAGCAACGATGTCACGGCCATTCGAGGTCCGGTTCAACCCGCACACGGAGACCGTCGAGGTCCTCGATAGCGTCGAGAGGCTCGAGGGCGCCGTCTCGCAGCTTAATATCGAGCTCACTCATATCACCAACGCTCTTAAGAAAATGAAGCACGCGTTTGCGTAAGATTTTGCGCAATCGGGATGATTATTGTGGGAGGTGGTGACGCCGTACGTGGTTGACGATGGGGAAAACGTGCACGGGAGCCACTGGGATTCGATCGCCGATAATTTACATGAAGGCGCACGCTCGCCATGGCTCAAGCATCAACGACGATTCTGCCATGTCCTATGAGTCCGTTATTCCACTTTGACATTAATGTCGCTATTCTTTCAAGCTCAATAATTATTTCAAGTTTCTATAAAAGTGATGCCCGAGATCGATTATTCCTCGCCCCCCCCCCCCCCCCCCCCCCCCCCCCCCCCCCCTCATCCACCCCCCATCCACCCTCGCCCCATAATTTCCGTATATTAACGGCAAAGTCTTTTGAAAATATGAAATTACTTTTTATTTTGAGTTATACAGGTGATAATCGATTGATTAATATGGCTTTGAGGGCTACATAAATTGTCAAATTATCCAAATTGTATATAATACGAAGGGAGTTAGATAATTAGTTAGAAAATTAACGAGCAGTAAAATTGTTATAGGATGATTATTGTAGAAGATCGTAATTTGATTAAAATTCATTAAAATATTGAATTATCGTGCTGAAACGAGTGTAGAAAGTATACGCATGAAAAAGTATTATCAACCAAGTATATATTTAAAGATTATAAACGTATAATCTACTAAATATAAGTGTAAGATAAAATACTTTGTTTGAATAAAATGTTCTGCCAAATATATTTTAGTATTAATTAAAATAAGTATTACAGAGTATAATCTTGGATATGAGTTTAATGAATATTAAAAATTATTATTTAATTAGTTCATGGCAAATTATAATTTTATTGGGAGATTCTTAAATGATAAAAGGTCCTTCTTTCTATGATTTGCAATGAATAAAGTTTGCACTTTAGATATTCAAATTAAAAGTTGAAATACTTAATCCTTATTTGGAGAATAAATGTAATTTTCATTTATTTTATAATGTTTTGGATTTAAATCACGGCAATAAAACGGTAAGAAAATAATAAATCATACGCGCCTCTGTGTTTATTTAAAATTAATTATGAAGAATAATATTTACAGTTGTGAATATTATTGATTAAAACAGAAAATATTATGGAAAACATAAGAAATTAATATTATTGGTTATATTGAATTATTATGGTATTTGTAGTACTATTGACATCACCTACGTATTTTCAAAATTATTACCTATCGCTACAGTTTAAAAATTTACTTAAAATTATTAAGTTCATTATTATCTTTTCAGACAACGAAAAATTCATAACTAATAATTTTAAATGAAAAATGGTATATTAGCAATATATTGTTAAAAAAAAAAAAAAAAAAAAAAAAAAAAAACAAAAAACAAAAAAAAAAGAATAAAATTTTAATAAGATACACATGTAATACAAAATTATACGTTCGAACGTAAAAAGTCGAATGACTTCTATCAATCTTTTTTCATTATATTGTTAAAAGTAAAAATACTTTGTCATTACGACAAAATTAATAATTATGTAAACTTCACTTATATAATCTCCATCTTTCCGTCGCACCTTTTGTAAAAAGTTTCTTCTACATCATTTCATACAATTATTATGTTTTTATTATTTTCTCACTGGTATGCACGTATGATTTGATTTGCGCGACTTAAAAGTATTATTAGTAGAGAATTAAGATAACGCTCGGAGGGATAAAAAAAAAAAATTTTTTTTTTTTTTTTTATTAACATAACCATTTGCCTTCGTTTCTTCAACCTTGAATTTTTAATATTTTCTCCCCAATATTGTTAAGAGTACTCATTAAGCGAATATTATCGTTATGTTATTATAATTACATTTCATTCTATTGTATTAATTATGTTTTACGACTTATATTATATGTTATACATATTTTATGTATGTTACCGTTACAAAAGCCACCATTTATCTCGTGTATTGTTATTATAAAAATACTATTATTCGTCATTGTAAAGTTTAAAGTGGATTAGAGATGACAATACTTTAAGCAGTAGTAATACTTATATTTTTGAATAAACGTCACTGATTAATAGTAATACATGTTATCTCTGTTATTTTTAGTTTTACTCTATAAATCTAAACTCACAATAATTTTATAATTTGGAAGTTAAAATTTCTGTTCGTAATAGGGTAATGGTTTAAGCAAATTAGTGACTGCTTTTCACTAAATTAATTTGATTTATCTGATTTCACTAGTATGCCAATAAAATAAAATTGTTCGTTTTCATATGATATTAGTAAGAATGACGTATACATCAATTTTATTATAATCTATTACAATGTATTATTGCACACCTCTTCCTCCCACGCACATATTCTAACGTCACGCACGCTTGCGTGCATGTGTGCTATAATGTATATCTTAAATTATATTCCCATTAGATCTCTGACGTAAATGCAAATCTCTAAAGTAATGCTACTTATATGTACAACTACGAATATATCGAATAGCAAAAAGGAATAGTTAATTAATAATAGTTTGTTTAAAAGTTTTTGTTAAAATTAATTGAAAGTGCAAAAGACATGCTTTGTCAACATATTGCACTTTGTTTGCGCATAGAATTGCGTAAAGCAGCGAATGATAATTGCTCGATTTGTTTGTATTATATTGTTAAGTATCGGTATAATAAATAGTTTCGATGATCAACATTACGTCTTTTCATTACTTGTATATTTATTTAAGTTGTTTTATAAATTGTATTTATTTCAAAAGAGTTAGATTTTATAGTCAAGCATTGCAGGAGTAAAGCGAACAACGTAATAATTCAGTTTGCAAATAAATTTTTAATAGAAAGTGAAATTTATATATTATAATAACTCAATAATAAAGCAATTTACATATGAATACATAACTGACTTGACGACGTTAAAAGTTTATTTTTACTTGTTTTACATAATACGAGTTGTTAAAGCACTGAATTATAAATAATTATTTTCAATTTTATATTTATATGATAAAAATTTCAGATATTTATTAGTCTGTTTCCTGAATATACAATGAAAAAATAATGTGTGCATTAGCATTAATAATTTCTATAATCTATATATTTTAAATTTTTAAATTTTTAACAGCTTATTAAGAGATTAGAATTATCTTTGTCATATAATTTTCAGTTTCGATAATCAAAAACTGTACCAACGGTAACTTAACACTTTTTAGTCCATATTGTTACTGATTTAATTTATTTGACACTTTCAAAGTTGTGCTCAATACTTTTAACAATTATTTTCTATCACCTTCAGCATTTCTCTTAGTATAATATTTTGTCTGTTACAACATTCGTCTTTCTTAACGTGAATCTTGATTAAGGTAAATATTACCACTTATGAAAGTTAAACAAATATATAGAACATACTAGTTTTGCGATACACAGGTATGCTTTAATAATTAAGGTGTAACTATTTCCAAGGTTATTTGTTCTGCGATGATTAATATTACAATTGAAAGTATATCATGTGATTTTTCTATTTTTTTTTTCTATTTTTGTCTATTTTTTTTTTTTTTTTTTTTTTTTTTTTTTTTTTTAATTACGTAAATATGAATAGATTTTTGCGGAAAAAATAATAACTAAATAATTCGGTGTACTACATTCGAAATATTATTGCACAATTATTTTCATATTTAATAAAAAAATAATATTTCGTTCATTTGCTCTAATGTTTTCATATTTTACGATTGTGAAGATTGAGAACGAATTATAAATTTTTTTTAAATGGAAAAAAATATATAACTTGTAAAGATGATTTCAACCTCAGAGAAATTTATATGAAGAATATAAATACTTAATATCATCTGTAAAGTATATACAAAAATTCCATCAATGCATATGCATAGTAACAATATTGCAATTTTTGTTAACAATAATGTCAATACAATAAGTAATAATATTTTGTTGATAACCAAAATTCTTTATATTAACATGAAAAATGTATGAATGGAATAAAAAATCCAAAAAGAATTATTAAGACGTAATTATATAAAAATATAAATAAGAAGTAAAAGAGAGAGAGAGAGAGAGAGAGATTAAGAATGAAAATGAGAGGGAGAGCGAGAGTGATTGAAGCTGATATATAATGAGATATAGTAAAGAGTGTGAGAAATAGAGAAATAAAAGTGAAAGAGCGTGTGTGAGGGAGAGGGGATTAGATTTATAATGAAAATAAAAAAATTAAGATAGCTAGAGAGAAAACTTTCTCCGATTATATTGAATGAGCAGGCTAGTGTGCGTTGGATGATGTTGCTTAGTCAGTCAGATGAATTACTTATGCCAGGATAGTATCGCTCATCTTAATAATGCTGTCGAGCAACGTTTCTCACTACATTCCCGAAACTCGAGCACGTAAGAGCATCAGCAATTAATTTTTTCAGGCCAACTTTGTCGTACTACTTTTTATTTTTCGATGCCATAACGCAGTGCATTTTACGAAAGTCACGTATGCAAAGTCCAACAAACATTTCTTTCTTCTTTCTCTTTAACTGCCTAATAATCTTTACATTTATCTTAATCTATAAAAGACTATTAGGCGTATTTAGCATATATTTAAAAGTTGCTCATTTTTTAAATTAACAATTAGTTCAGTATAATCACTAGGATAATTCTATAACAATGACAATATAATGATTCACGTACCAAAGTATCATATATATGCTAATTACACGAATAAGTTATAACGAAATAAATAAGCAAATGATTAAGTATTAGAATTTTAAGGATTATATTAATTCAGAAAATCATTCTCAATGTTCTTGAAACTATATGTATAGTGAGAATAATTTTTCGAAATAATAATTTTATTAATTTAAACATTGATTTTAAAAATATACAAAAATTTATGAAATAATATATATTTACTTGCAACAGAAGATTATTAACAACATGTCAATTAACATGATAAGCACGATTATAAAAAATTGTAATGTTACATATAAAAACGTTTAACACGATTAATCTTAAGAGAAATCATAATTTGATGTTTCTGTTCGTAAATTACCGCTGATGAAATTAAATACTTTTAATCGTCGTTAGTAAAATACGTCATTCACATTGTAATAATAAAAATTGGTAATTAAAATTATTATTACTCTTATTTTCTTACTGACTTCGTTATCATTAGGTTTTATATTCATAAAAATTTAATAAGTAATAAGTAATAATTAGTCATTTACATTAACATTAATTATAAAAAACTTAATAAAAATAAGAGACACATATAAGCTTATATAATAGTTATTCCTATTTATGTGTATTTTCTAAATTCATTTATTAATTAAGAATAAAATTTTCTTCTTATTACTTTCTTATATATGAATATAAATAAAACGTACCAAATTATCTGAAAGATAATATATTTAAATTATTTAAATAAAAAAAGATTTTTATCTATGATACTTTGTAAATTTATGATAAAATTCGTATTGAAACAATATGTTAGAAGTCTAATGAATTATTTTTCTTTAAATTATATTTTCAATTTGATATTTATATATTTTATTGAAACAAAATTTATGAAACGAACGATAAATTTATGAGTTATTAAATTTTCTCAAATATTTTTCAATCAATGTATCATATTTTCTTTTTAAAAATAATTTTTAATTAAAAAAATCTATACAACAAAAAATAAAATAAAATTGATTGCAACAAGAATATTGGAAAATGATGGATTCTTAAATTTGGAAATTTAAGAGTAAGGTAGAGGTCTGTTATAGCAACATATGGTTAGAATATTTCGAATTTTGTTCAATCACATTCACAATATCATTATATTACATTTATTATTTCATAACAGATAATGTAAATCCCTACCTTATCAGCAGATGCTGTTGATTGGATGATGTAATTATTATAAAAAAATCAAATTATATGCATATTTTTTAGATGAAACTTTAATGTAAGTGTTACTAAAAAATTAGATAATAGAAAATGGTGTTTATTGAAAATAATAAATAATTTGTATTAGATGATTGGAAATATAATATTCTTATTGAATTTCATATAAAAATGTGAACTGTGGGAAAACTACTATACATGGGGAATTACATAACGCACTCATGCACACACACGTACACGCCAAAGCAAACAAAGAAACAAACAAATAGATAAACTATAATACAAGTAAATAGATATTTAAATAATAAAATGTTTAATATAATATATAAAAATTTTTCAAATTTGAATTATCTTTTATAAAGAAAGAACTAAAAATAAAATTCAGTACTTTCATTATGTTGTTTAGAATTAATTTGTTTCATAATAATAAATTGGTTATATATACATAATATATATAACCATAATATATATAAACATAATAAATAATAATAAAATAGTGGAATATATACTTTATATTGACGTTTTTAAATGCAATATGTGTTTTGAATGAAAATATTATTAGTTTTAATAAGAAGAAATTTAGAGATAAATGTTAAAGATTATATGAACGTGTAAATTGTTGAGATAATTGAAGTAACGAAAAATTAGTTATTTACTTAATTTGAATAGCTATATACTTTCAAACATACAAATGAAAATATATATTAATGAAAAAGTTATTAAATGAATTAAATTTTGTATTTAGAAAGAAAGTATGTTCGTTGCTGAGTTTAGCCAAAACTTAGATAAATAAAATACAAAAGTTCACTTGACCCTAATGAATAAATTTTCTTATAATAGAAACAATGTTTAAAATAGTATTCTAATACACTGTTATAATAAAGAGTCTCGCTCGATTAGTGTATGTACATGGATATAGAAAACTTCATCGACTAACTCTAATAGCCTAAGTACAATTGACCAAAGTGTTAAAAAGACCGGTGAGAACGAATCATTCGTTACTCTCAAGTTCAAATTCCCATTTCAGCTTTCCTTTCCAGATCCTCCTTCGCATATTTCACCCGGCGATTACTTCAGCGTATACTGACTGAAAAGCGCACTATTTGGGTGGTAGAAGGAAATGGGCAATAGGTAAGTCGGGAGCTAAAACGACCGAGAGCACGCAGAGAGAGAAATAGAGGCAGTGCGAGAGAAGGAGCGTCGCGATGAAGCAGTTGAGCTCGGACCAAGAGACGCGGTAGATCATGCGCCGGAGCTCCAGCAGTGGTTTCGGTTCCACGTGATTCGCGCCTTCTGCTTTCTCCTTTCTGCTTCCGCGAGACAAGCATTCAATTGTCCTTGCTCCATCATTCTCGCTTGCTCGTCATTTCGAAAGATAATATGCCCGTAATGCAAAATAAAGACGTAATAATAATAACGAGAATTGCCTCTGATTTGTTTGAGGATAGAATAAGAAATTTAAGCTTTATTGCTTCGACGTTGAGATAGATGATTCCATGATAAAGGAAGGTAAATTAACCTACAAGTTTTTCTTGCTCGTACTCTCGCTCAAATGTCATTTAATTTTGAATTTGTCGCTCGTATTCGATATCTTTTACGAGAATTATAAATAACGCTAGACTTTCAATATTATTGAAGTTTTTTTTTTTTTTTTTTTTTTTAACGAATAACCAAATAGATGTTCCCTAAGTGGATGTACACTCGTGTCGCGCCAATACCGATTTTAATTCGTTCGTAGAGACTTACGGGTACAGTTTTTTCTTCGATTCTTCGAAAGTGGATATTCACGATTGCTCTAATCATCAGTAGCGGGTGAAAGAATTATTTGTTTTCTGTTTTATTGACATCAGTGGGTGAATATGGTATTTCTACTTACGGAATTGACGAAACTCTGTGTGTGTGTGTGTGTTTTGTGATGATGTAATGGTATTTTAAGGTATTTCATTTAAGAAATGTCAAGACACAAATTGCATTATACATGATTTTATTCAAAACTGACGAAATATTATGTAGCCATAATCTTAATATATATATATATATATATATATAATACATGAAATTATTTTTATAGAATTGTTAAAGAGTAGTATTATTATTTCAGTATTTATAAAGTAGAAGAAATATATTAATATTTTATAACATTTACAATATTTTACAAATAATTTGTCATTATTTAATAATAGCTGACGATTAATACTAATTTTTTGATCAGATATAGATTTCTTTTTAGACGTAAACATATTTGCAATTGTCAATCGTTATTTACAAATTAAAAATTTACGAGGCAATAGATCATACAATACTGCAATACTATAGAGTTTCCATTTATTTTTACAAACTGATTTATAACAATACTTTTTAATAAAAAATATTAATTAAGATATATAAACTCTTATTTGGTTATATTAAATAGATTATATAAGTAGATTATAAGTTTTTACAAAATATTTATCTTAAATAGTGAGATAATGGAATATGTTGATAAATCCTTAGAGATTTTGCAAGCCAAATAAAAAAATATTTAACAGATAACAATAACATCAAATATGTTTCAGCAAACACATAATTATACATAAATATATAGACACATATGTGTAATGCAATAATAAATGCACGCATTTATTTATTGGCAATTCAAATGTCTTAAGTTGCAAGTTCATTTTTCCGAAATATTACTTCTGATACTAATCGTAATTACGTGAAATATTACTTTATCGATCGAAAATTTAGAGTTTTATTTTTAATTTTTTCACATTTATAAAATGGCAATAAAATATTACATCGATATACTTTTAAGATGAATGTAAAATTATAAAGGAAAAGTCAAATAAATAGAGTTTTTATTTCGCTCTAATAATCAGCGCGTGAATGTGTATCTTGTAGCTTACTTTACTCGCCGTCGCTTTTTCTCGAGGCTAACAAATTATTTAATGCGCCAAGCAAATGTGTTTTTATACTGATGTATGATCCGCGAATACTACTAATGAAGTCCTTGCTTCGTCGAATACAAATAATTATTAATTAAATAAAGGAGGGAAAAATAAAGAGGAACAGAGAATAAAATGAATACACTAAATGAAAATGAGATGTAGATGAAATAAATATAGAAAGATAGAATGTGAGCGTCTGTGCAATCAATTATATATCCATTAAACATTGAGGTTGAGAATATTTAGCGACGCTATTAAAGCTTATTACAGTCGAGAAGAATTTTAAAATGTGAATATTTTTTCATTTTTAGTGCCGATGAGAAATACATATGTGTACTGATAATTAGATATCTACGCCGTGAATCGACAGTGTAATAGTTAATGTCCTAATGTTTTAATCATGACATCTAATGCAATCAGGGGTATACGTAGAAAGAAGAGTACACTTTGCGAAGTTAAGGTTGCTGTAATTGGTGCACCAGGAGTTGGAAAAAGTGGTACGTCTGATAATTTGGATTTATTGAAACGCATAAATTTTGATAAATTTTAATAAATTTTCAATGTAAATAATATTACTTCTAAACCGATGTTCTTATACATAATTATTTGTTAAATGTCCAAATTTTATAGAAATAATTTAATAATAATTTTGATGACATATTGAAATTTTCATTTTCTTATAGTTTGTTTATACATTTATACTGAAAGAAATTCAGATACAGATAAGCTAAGTGTTTTTTCTTCAAATATTTATTGTTTCCTCATTAAAACATTACAATAGTACTTATAAAAGCAAATAATTAGCTTAATAATAGATTATAATTTATTTTAGGAATCTCAATATTTATTATAAGACATAATTGAAATACTAAATTATCCTATTATATTAATATATTTGTTATTATTATTATATTGGGATATTCTATTTAATTAAATACGCAGGCAAATGCATTATAACATGTAATAAAAGAGACAGTGTAAACTATCTTTCATTATGTTATTTATTAATAAAATTAGATATATATTTCATAAACATATTGTAATCGAAATACTTAAATATGTTTGAAATTTCTATTTCGTCAGCGATTCCATCATAATTCAATGAAAACATTTTCACATTTTATGAAAAAATCACATTGACATTGTTAAATATTTTAATTTTAGAAATTTATTGAATTGGTACTATATGTTATTAAAATAGTTTGAATTTAGTAGAAAATCTATAACAGATGTAGACATTATATTTTTAAAATTATAAAAATATTATATCTAATCGTTATAAATTTTGTTCAAAGTTATTTTATATGAAATCGGTTTTTGAGCATCAAATTTTATTATTTACATTCATTACCAAGCGTATTTTTATATTTATAATAAATTATGATATTTACGATTAGAACAATTTTATAGCGAAGAAAATAAATAATATTCATGGCTATTGTATAGAAAATACAAATGAAATGTATCATTATTTCATAAGAATTTTGTAATAGAGTATTAGTCGGAAAATTATTAGATAAATAAATTTCTATTACAAAACATTAATATAAATTTTCATTGAAAATTTGAATCTTTACTATGAAATCGTATATTACTATCTGTCAAATATTTTATTTCTTCCGTCATTCATTTAATATTTGTTTTATTCTTGAAATTTATAAAATTATTACTTTCATATGCACACACGCACGCACGCTCGCACGCACGCTCGCACGCACACTTCACTATATAAACGATCATACGAGAAAATGAAAATTTTAATGTCTGCCTAATTAAATTTACTTTTAATTAGAAATTACAATAAAATTTATATTAGTTATATTTTTACAATACTTTTATCTGTTATTTAATAAAAATATATTTCAAAAAATTCAATAATATTTCATCATTTCAACAATTTAATAATAACTTTAATACATTAAAAATAATAGTTGCATGATAATTATAAATATTTTAAGTGTATAGATAACTCCGAGTTTTAAAATAACTCTTATAAATTATTAGAGATTGCATGCCTAAGTATTTTAAAAGATTTTAAAACGTAAAGCTTAAGAACTATCTATATTTTCATTAGTAGGTGGATATATAGTAAACGTCACACTAATTATCATAAGGATTTATTTATTTTGATTTGTTAAGGAGGGCACGGAAGCCGTGCCTTTTAAAAAGTAAATATTTTTTTTTTTAATACAACAGGCATGGAAATATTATAAATACAAATTTCTTAGAAGTATATATTGAAAATGTGTTCTATTATTCAATCCAGTAATGTTATTGTTAATTATTTATAATTTTATAGTAAATCATTGAAATGATCGAAGTATAGATGCATATACTATATATATATATATATATATATATATATATATATCGTAATTATATTTATTCATATTATATTTAATGCAGTTTAATAGAATTTAATAATCAAATATAATAGTAATGTAATAATATTATAAAATAATAATATAATAAGAAATTATTTAGGGAGAAAGAAATCAATATTCTATTAAACTTCTTTAAAATTAATTATTATCTTTGCCAAATAATTAATATTTGACTACGTTTTCAAAGCAGTGTATCTGTCGTACAAATTTTATCTATTAAAATTCGTCCCTCAGATATATTTGAAAATAATCAATTTTTATAAGCATTTAAAAGTAAATATAGTTTGAATTACTTATTTATTATTTTCTTTATAAATATAATGTAAACGTTAAATGGCCTAAGATAATGCAATAATATTTATATATCATCGACGATTATATTTTGATTTTCTACTTTTGGTAATATGGTAATTGCTCAATGGTTGAAAGAGTGATTTTTAATATAAATATCAAAGATATTATTAATTATTAATATTAAATAATTCTTAAATCAATAGAGCTTAATATATATTTATAAAACATATAGTGCCAATGAAGTAATAGAATTGCGAGGGAATTTAGAAAGTTTAGTTTTGTTTAAAACCGATAACCAACAGAGCAGCAACCTAGTACTCACAAGTGGTAGGCACGTATTTTGCGTTACGGAAGTAGAGAAATGGACATTTGGTGCTTGTGAGCGAAGCCAATTTCGTGTGTATTTTCAGTAATAGCACGTGTTTAAGTTACTTGAAATAAATAATTCCGTAAATCGTCTTTTTTCACCCAAATCAGATTCAAAATCTGAATTATCCGTAGCTCGTTACTACTATAGCTCTTGTTCATTGCATTAGTTTGCTTTGAAATATATAAAATCATGTTAATTTATCTTTCATTGTTTGTATTACCACTTTGTGGTTTATTTTATATTTCTTTTACTTTTCGGATATGAGCAGTAGAATTTGGATAGAAGAATTTAAGAATTTAGATAAAACCATTAGGTAATATAATATCAATGTAATTACGAACAAAAAGTAAATATTCATGATGATTTATGTATTGATATGCTTAAAAGTAAAATATTCAATTCAGCTTTTAATGACTAATAACAGTAATATGGAAATTAAATTTATTTAATAAACATCTATATATATAAACATCTATATATGTTTTAGCTTCTTAATATAATTCTTAATTCTAAAAGAATTCTTAATATATATATATATATATATATTTTGAATTTAATTTTTTTTTCATTTCTAATTTTTTTTCTAAATTTTTCATTTCAATGCTCATTTTTCAAATCACTAAAATTAATATAAAAATACTATTTATCTTATGCAAAAAATTCTGAATATCGAAAAAATCTAATTAAACAGATCTAATTAACTTTAGTATTTTGAAAAACAAAATTATTAAAATAAATATCAAATGTGTATTATATCTATATTGTTTTTTCTAAAATTGTCTTTTATCATTTTTCCTCTATTCATTTTCTCATCTCTATAACATTATAAATATATCAAATTTATTTCAGTTCTTAGATTCTATTATGTATATCATCTAATTATTTTCTGGTATTCGTAGCTTTTCTTTTTACGCGAAAGAATCTATTTAAAGTTTTCTTTGAAATGAGCAGAATATAAGAAAGGTATTTAAAATTTCATTTCTCGTGTTTAAATTTCGAAAATTAAGAAATCATATATTTGTTATTATTACTTTAAACTCTTTCAACGTTTATATTTATTTATCATAATTTTTATTATCAAGTATACCTTATAATTGAAAAGATTATATTAGATGCTATTCTACGTTGAGATTCGATGAAAATTCACGATAAATATGTAATTCCCACCAAAAAACGTGACAATTATATTTCCGAATGATATACTCACCACCATAAATTATTGACCAAAATAACCTCCACGTTGTGATCTTGACATCGCATTTTTAAATCTCAAACTATGTGGTTTCAAAGTTTCACGCTCAATCGTTCGTTCACTCGACAGCTGCGCAGAGAAAGAGAGGTGCATAGATCGTTATAGCTATTTATAAACAGTAAACTCACTGTTGAGATGCATACTTATATATATGGCATTCGAAAAGTCTATAGTTTTTTTAAAGTTTTCCATGGAAGCAATCGCGAAGGAATATAAGCGAGAGGCAAAATTCTACTTTTGTTACGTTCTTACTTCATTGGCCAATATGCGTTAAAATAATTTATATATAGTTTATGGCTCTGCCATTCAAAACATTTAATGTTTCTGATCTTTTGATGATTATAAATTTAAGATTAGCGATAGTAAAGATATGATATTATATAAAAGACTTAATACACGATACATTCGTATTAATTACTGCAATCAACAAAATTATTATTATTATTTTTTATTGATGATATCTTTATAGTTTAGCTTCTTTTATAATTCAAATTTTTTATATTATAGGGACAATATTTTCTTACAACTTTATTTTAACACATTCAATATAAACTTATAAATTGTTTGCATTAAATTTTATTCTTATCTTTATTGTTGCATATGTATATTGATACAATAATAATGATAAGAATATTAGATTTTAAATATTTAATTATAGAAAAGTATAAGTCGTAAAATATTATATTTAATTTTTATATAGATGATAACATTATTTGATGGAAAACTAAAGCTTTATTATATATTATAGATAATTTGATTATTTTGAATAAATATAATTGAATAATGAAATACATTAAGGGCATAATCATAATAAATAAATACATCAAACAATAAAAAATATATTCATATTTATATAATAAAAAAAAAAAATTATAGAATAGTTATGCTTTTGAATGAATTAATTTCTTTATCAAACAATGTATACATTTATTATTATTTAGCTTTTGTTAACAATTTGAAGAACAATTAATTTTCCTTTAGAATAAGATAATTAGGAATAATAGAAATTAATAGTGAAAAAATAATAATAAATACAACCAAGCATTGACTGTGAAATTATAGATAAATAATTAAATTATTAAAATATTCAATTGACTGAATAATTTAGCCATATAAACTAACACATATTTAGTTCGGCTATATATTTAATTCAGTTTAAAATAATATAGTTTGACATTTAGAAAAATACAAAATTATTGTATATAAATCATGTACTCATGGAATGTCTATAGATTTGTATAGATTAATCTTGGAAGAAAAAACATGTAGATTTTTTTAGAATAAAGTAGAGAAAGATTCTTACTCCACGAAACTGAGATAATATATATTCAGTGAAGACATACCGCGACGATACGATAAGGGTCTATTTCCGGCATCTTCATTTCTGGATCATTTTTCGATCTTGAGTGTTTCGTCCTATATTTCATCGAGTTGATATGAATAGTGAAGTTGGATATTCTCTTAATTCATTATTACAAGTAAATGTGATGTCATGTTTTTTATTTATACAAGAGAACATAGAATAACAATATTCTTACGTTAGTTAGAATTTTATTCTCTTATTTTGCATAGCTACGTCAAACTAATATAGACTTAGACGCGAGTAATTTATTCGAATCTTTTGCCGTTATAAGACAGTTTTTACGTGCAATTGAGAAAAATAAATCGAGGCATTAAATTAACATTCGATTAATTTTTATTATAGAACTCGTGAAATACAAATCTTTCACAAACTGTAAATATACCTTTTCTATTAATATATATATGTTTTTAAATTTTATCTTACGAGTTTAGTTTATATAATCATGAATATCAGTGAAAGAAGTAAGTTCAAATTTCATATATTTTATTTTCAAGATTATAATTATTACATTATCGTAAAATTTTTAAATAATATAATAAAATGTATTTTATTAATCATATCTTTATTAAACTATTATCTATATTATTATATAATTAATATTAATTAAATTATTTAAATATAAATTACAAAATTAAATCAAATCATAACAAAAGTTATGAGTTGAATAGCTTCTTATTTTATGGATGCGTTAAATTATTATTCGAATAATTATTTTAATTTTTAAATGATAGAGAAAATTTTAATTTTGAAACAATTATACTTTATTATGTTTCATAATATTATCGACAAAAAAAAAAAAAAAAAAAAAAAATGGTCTCTATTATATAAATATTTAGTCTGAAGTATATTTTGAAAATGAAATTATTTACACATGTCTTTTTCTGATAAAATATAATTTTCATATCCAAATCTATTATGTATATGTTCATCAATAAACAGCATTTAACCAAATAAATCACTATAACTTAAGTTGATGATAATTTCGAATAAAATAACTTATTAGCAGATAGAAAATTCGATATAATTTCATGTATTAATTAGTATTTTGTTTTTCTGAACCTATTAACATTTCAATATACCATTGATATTACAAGTTTTCTGTTGATAACATAATTTAAATAAAGCTTATAATTTTGACAAAATTAAGTTGAATAAATGATTGGATAAAAATCGAATCGAAAGGAATAATAGACTGGGACATTAGCATATTATAATTTGTATAATAAAGCTCTTCTTTATAAAAATTAATGGAGGCATTTTGTAAATAAGAGTTACAGTATTTACAAGCCTTCACGAGATACTTAACTGCTGAATATTATAATCGAAAAGAATAATATTGTCTTTACCAGAAATATAATAAATTCTAATATTTTCTTCTCTTCAATCGCTCTTTATTTTAATAATGTGCAATCTCGAGGAATATATTAATTTCTCCACTGCAGTACGTGGCTTTTGTCAATGAGATAAAACAACGGAAGCTTCGCTGCTTGTCGAAGCGCTGCTGCAACAAAGATACCAGACCTTTTTGTAGCCCATCTTTGGGTATTCGTGTCTCTCAAGCTTCCTGTAATGCAATGTTTATAGGCACATTGCAAGGTTCTGTGTTAGTTTCCCCCTGGGGTAAAAATAGTGTGGTACACCACGAAGCGGGTCACTAGGCTACGTGACTCGTTGCGAATTCGCAATGCCTACGCCCTTATTCGTTAATTTTTTTTCCTGCCCCCTCACATTAATCTCTACTTCAAAATCTTCATTTTATTTCGATAGTTTAATAAATATTATTATTAAGATTTAATTTGCAATTTAGTTTATGCATTATATATTGTGGAACGTGAAATATCATTAGTCGATCCTCGTGATCGTTATATTACCAATGCTATCGATAGAAATAATTTTCTTTAATAATATTTTATACCTAATTCAGCTTTTGTACAGTTACAATTACATTAATTTGCTACGATAGTTTGTAATTTTCAAATTATTTATTATAAGGCAGTGTTTTAATGATAAATTGAATCTATACTTTTCTGTATGTCGACTAAAGAAATACTGATTAATCTAATGTTAATCTATATTAATATAATGTAAAAAATTAATTGATTTTAGGCATGATTATTTTGACAATAATAATTGCCAATACTCTTCAAAATAAATAAATTACCAATTTCACTTTAACAGCAACATTATTACAGATTTAGAAAATTACGTATGGCTATCTGATTATAAATTGATAATTTTAATTATTGTCGTCTATTGAAAATTTAATGCCAGATGTTTGCACTACACTGTTTATATAAGTAATTTATAAATTATTTTACGTTCTTTATTCATTTTTAATAAATTTGTAAGTCAATTAAAAGAGTCGAATGATATTATCCAATTCAATATTAAATTTATAGAAAATTATGTTTTTAATATTGTTTAATAATAGCATGCTTTTGTAAATACTGTATGCTATAACAAACAATATATATTAAAGAAATTAAATTGAACTGCAATTGAAGATGTTTGGTTTCATTTTTTTATTAATTTACATTATTTTAGCTCAATTCAATTTTATTTCAGAATGTTCATGTGCGTATACTACATTATTATTACTGTTTGAACTTCTAGTTAATATAATAACTGTACAGTACTATGCACATATTAATTAGTAAAAAGGTAATTAGTGATAATCTATTAATATTGTTACAATACGATTATCGATATGAATTATAAAAATTTTAATGGTCATAAAAACATCTACGACGGAAACTGTACAGCCCTTTTTAAATTTAATAATTATTCCATTAGGTTATATAGAGAATATGTTATTATATAGTTAATATGATAATCCATTTTAAAATAGATTATAAATTTAATAGATAATTACTTTTACAGAATAAATAGTAAATGATTTTACAATAAAAATTATATGAAATATTAATAACTTTAATTATATATATATAATTAAAGTTGTTAATATATATATATATATATATATATATATATATATATATACAATACGTAAACTATTTAATTTAAAAATTTAATTTAATTTAAAGTTTGCTTAACTAAATTTTTTTCTTCATTTAACATTACAAATTACAATATAGAAAATTATTTAAACATTGTTATATGATTATTAATACTCGTATTACAATTTCTTTTATATAACTATTCATCAGTACAAAAGTCATTACACTGCAATAAATAGTCTTTATTCGTTTATTTAATTACGTTATTCAAATGTATATTGTTGCGTCAAGCATTCCTCTATCAAAGTAAGTATAAAAATTAAAAATTTTCAGAAAATTCGTTTCTTACAATAAATTTTTTACAATATAATACAAGTTAAAAAATTTATTAATATCGAATGAAACAATTTCAATTCATTTATCAAGCTATACGTAAAAAAGACATAAATAAATTAATAAATATGTGTGTGTGTGTGTGTGTCGATGTGTATGCCATTTACAGTAAAATAATATTTTGAAAATGAATTTTTAAGTATTTTTAAATATATTTCCAAGTTCAGTGGACTTCATGGTTGGAAAGCCAAGATACCTAATTTCTCTTTGTTTTTCAAAAAAGGAGGTAAAATCGAAAGTTTAGTTTTCTTACGAATTATTTTCAAAATATCAATTTCATATGCAAATAATTTTTACTCATTATAAATTATCCATTGACTATTTTGTGAAAATAAAATTTATTTAATGATTAGCTATACTTTTATAATTATTTTACTAATTATATTTTTTGTTACAGCCTTAACAGTAAGATTTTTAACAAGACGATATATCGGAGAATATGATCATCAGTCAGGTATGTTATTAATAAATGTTAGTAAAGTATTTCATGAAAATTATAAAGAATGTGTGTATATTTGATATATTGTTGGAAAAAAAATTCTGTATAACATGATAGATATTTCTTAAACATATATTAAAATAATAAAAAAAGTTAATCCATCTTTTGTCGATATTTAGAGTTTTACTTAATTATGTTAACTGATATTAATTATTATTTACTTTAGAATTTTTGAAAAAAACTTAATTTACTTCTATAAATTTACATTAAAGCTAGTTAACAAATTATTTAGTTATGTACACTATAATGTTTAAATGAGTTACAGTAAAATTGAAAGGAAATATATATTTATCAAGTGTTCGACAATAATCTATTGAACAGTAAGAAATTAATTTAAACGTAATTTAAAAATAATTATTCAAAAGTTTATTTATTCTGACTAAATGGACAACTCTATAGAGCAACAAATGCATTGCGGAGCTATTCAAAAGTAAAGTTTAGTAAAATTACTACAAGTTTTTCCATGTATGTAATATTTAACAGTTGAAAAACAATTGTTTATCAAGGTAAGGAAATTAACACACGGAAAGTATGTTTGCTTTGAAAATTTGCCAGAAGAGTATCTATCATATCTCTTTGTTTAAACTGTTTCTTGACATTGTTTATTTCAATCATTGATCTAAATATATCGAAGACAACTGATTTGACATTAGATGCGCGATTGTCCGATGCCAGAGGAAACGAGCATGTGTGTACGTATTTGTATATTTGCATGTTAAGTGTAGGTCATTTTTATATTCTCACTTTCCTTGCCCCAGGCCTTTTCCTGTTAATGAGGCAACAAATTATTTCATCACCTTTTTCCAAAATATGTCTATATAGCAATATATTTAAAATTTTCTAATCCTATTATTAATATTCATTGCTACGCAAACTATCGACGATTCCTTTCTTTTTTCTTTTAGAAAACAAGTACAAACATGAAGTTCTAGTAGATGGAGAACCTATACTTTTTGAGATATTAGATTTTTGTCCCAAGGTAATACAAAATAGATGCAATTTATTTATATATTTTATTATCAAAAACATTTTAATAATAGTCAAATGAAATTAATTAATATAAAATTTTTTATTAGTATTTCGTAATAAAATAAATGTTTTAATCTAGCAGTGTCTTTGAAAATAGCATAAACCGTTTTATTATGTTAAGAAATCGTTCTTATTAATTAAATGATAATTTAAAATCTATAAATAAGCTGCATCGCAGTATTATGTAAAAAATCACATATAAGTCAATATTGTGTTTTCAATGCGTAATAAAAAATCTAATTTATTTTAATTAAATAATTGTCAATATTTATTTTCCATAATGTATTTGATTTATGAGCTTAATTTTTTTTTTTTTTTTTTTTTTTTTTTTTTCCCCATTTATTAATGAAATATATATTTTTCCATTATATTTATATTTTATTTTGTCTTATTTTTAATTTAAAAATCTGTAGATAGATAAATTTTATTTATCTATTTGTAGTTCATTGGAATATAAATGGAATGGAAAAATTATTGCTACATATAATGTATCATATTCTACAATCTTATTGCGATAAATAATGTATATAAAATTTAATTAAAAATTTAATTGAAAAGAAAGAAATTAATATTTTAAACATACTTTTTTAACTGAAGAATATTAAATGCCATGATTTAACGGCAAATTTTAATTTCATCATGATTGTAGATAGTGAACTATTGAAAATATATTAAATATTTCAATAATAATTTTAACGTAGAGTCAAGATGAGCTCCCATCAACGGAAACACTACAATGGGCTGATGGTTTACTTCTTGTATATTCGATAACCGATAGAAATTCCTTTACTTTTGTACGAAAGGCAAAGGAGGCATTAGCAGTTGCTGATCCAGAAGCATCGATGCCTCTGGCACTCGTTGGAAATAAAGCAGATATGATTCACCTCAGACAGATTAGTACAGAGGAGGGAGAAATTCTTGCTAAGGATTTTGAATGCTGGTTCAGTGAGGTCACTGCAGCCGAACAGGTGAGTTCTTTAACAACACGTACACATATTTCTAATTATAATGAATGTGACACGAAATTTAAAAATATTATGTAACTATTTATTGATTTTGTATTTTAACTGGAATTGAGGTATTATATACAGTTTATATACAAACATACAAATGTATACATATAATTACTGATTATGAATGTTGTGGCATCAATTATAAGAATTAAATTAAATTATGGAAAAAAATTTATTCGTTTTTATATTTACAGGTAACCCAAGTTGCAGAATCGTTTCACGAATTATGTCGTGAAGTACTGGCAGCCAGAAGAAGAAATAAGCAATCATTGCTTGATCGGATGTTGGGCAGTAAATCAACGAAAGTATATTCCAGAGGAAAAAGTGATTCAGCGTTACCAAAAGATTAATATAACACTATTTTTATAGAAGAAATTATTAAAGTAATTAGATATAGATGTAATGAGTTAAATGTTGGTCTTCTCACATACAATCTCTATTTTTTGTACTTATCACGAAAAATCGAGCTAATAAAAGCTTTTCTCGTTTTTTAAAGTTAATTCGATATAAATAATCGTGAATTTTACTATTATCCTAGTTATTTAGTAAAAAGTTTAATTTTTATTATCACAAATATGTTCATTTGTTGTCATCGTATGTTTCAAGAACATCTGCCAAATGTTCGTTATCTCTTGGTTTTTTCAGCTGTTTTCTTTTGTTATTTGGCTTTTTCCTTTTAAGAGGTGCGGTTTTCTTTGGACCATGATCTTGCATCGATCTAATTCCTTGCTTTTCAAGATACTCATCAATTTTCGCATCATCCATTGCATCGACTGCAACTGCTCGCCAAAGCTTCTGAAATTCCTCATCAATTGGAAATTGCGCTGTCTTATCGTTATAAAAAACTATTTTTTTTTTATCTTGTGCTCGTGATATATATAGTATTTCATTTTGGAGATTCTGAAAATCATTACACAGTACGTACATTTACACTTAATGTATTGAATTAATAAATAAAATCAAACAAATAAATTAGATAAAGCTAATGTATTATCTGTAATACGTAATTTGATTAATGATTAATTATATGGAAATGCTTACTTTTAAATGTTTTTCAGAATGTGGAAGACTCTCTTGAATATCTTCTAATAAAATACCTCCTAGACCTTTAAGATCGTGTTGCTTTAATAATCTCAAAAGCGATTTTTTATCTTTAATTCTATATTGAGCTTTAAAACAATACTTTCCATCTGCGGTCACATCTATCTTTGGGTTTTGTGGTAATGATTCCATTAAAAGCCATTGTTTATTCTAAGAATAGGCGGATTGATACATGGTTATATTATAAATGTATATAATAATAAAATTTAGAACCTACACAATACATTATATATTACCATTATATTTAAAACAAAAACAAAAACAAAAGAAAATATGCAATGAAAAAAATATATACAATTCTCTTGATCAAAATTTAAAGAAATTAAATTCAATTAATCGTAACTTTGTAAAGACTATTAGTTAATCTATAACTAAAAATCTAACCCTGGTTCCTATATCAAGTTGATTAGTTTCATCTAGAAGTTCGTCCAAAGTCAATGGATGATCCTCGCCGTCCTGATGCCTTGCTTTCATATGTTGTACAATTTTTGTTAATATACCAAATCTAACTTGTGAACTACCCGACATAGTCTTATAAGTATTAATATCAAGTTTTGGTCCAGAAGAAACCGATGATGGTTTTGGTTTCTTTTTTGGTATGTCATCTCGAACAATTTCTTTTTCTGGTTCCCTTTTCCTTTTTTCAAAACTGTGAAACAAAAATGTAATTCCATACTAGGTAATGGTAAGCTATATATTAATTAAATTAATATTATTAAGCAGCAGAGCATAATTTCAAGTATCTTAAACATCATTGCTTAAACAAATGTATATATTCCTTCAATAAATAATTACTTTAATATATTTATATTACAACTAGTATCAAACAATTATAGAAGAAGGAGATGCTTAATTTATCGATATCATTAAATAACGTTTATGCAAGTGTAAATTTTAACATCATTTTAGGTTAGATAACCTCTTCAAAAAGAACATAAGAAAATAATTTGAAATTATGATTACCTCGGTTGAGATGCAGCTCGCTTTTTAAAAGCTTCATGTTCCCTTAGTAAAGCTGGATCCATATTTTAAATAATGTTTAAGTATTCAAATATGTTTAAAAATACTATTCACACTGAAAACTAATTGTTTATGATCCAGCCGAACATACATTATTTTTAATCAATCATAGAACAAGTATACCTGAGACTACAGAAATCTAGCAATAATCTAGATTTTATCTGTAACATATTCTTATTTAACAAAAATCTTTAAAACACACATTTTATTCTAAATTCTGCAATATGTACATCACACATAACACTGATCAACCATAAACACTTCACTAAAGATTTGTCACTCATTTCTTTTACATTGACCCGCAACTATATGCTGTTGAGAGATTGTTGTGTCTTAATTTTATCTTTTGGAAATAATTTTTAATTTATCAATTGTATGAACGAATATATTTTAAAACTTATTTAATTGTATTCTATAAGTAAAGAATTGAAACAATTAATTAAGCATTTGAAAATACGCACAGGCTAATAATGCATACTAAATCCCGCGATCCTTGAAATTCGTTGATTTCTGCTTATAGTTTATTTGATTAAATATCAATCTAAAATGAGTGAAGATATATTCTAATTTAATGTAATTTATAAATTATTATTTTATTTATTTTATAAGAATCCTATCGCATTTTTTTAAAAAGATTTTTAAATCGTACCCCATATTTAGATCGTAATATATTTGAGATATGTTATTTTAATTAAATATTATTATAAATATATTAAAGCTTATTTTATGTATTTAATTATCAACAAGAAGCAATTTTCATATCTTAAACTTACCTTATTATAAATCAATGGAAAGTAGTTCAATTATGTATGTTATTAGATATTTTTTGAGGCATAATTTCTTTCTCTATAGTTTATTATAACTCCTACCTTAATGTTAAATACAATTGTTTCCAAAACTTTTATATAATATTGTTCATATTGTTCATAATACAATGGCGTAGTGTAATAGTTATAATATTAATGCAATGTTTAATTATATTGTTTGAAACGTCTGCCTTTGGTCGAAATACCAGCTATTGCTTGTCAAGTTCATATCGAGCGGACAAAGCTATTGGAATATCGTGTCGAGGACAAATTTCTCTCACGACAAATAATTTTTTGTTCTAGCCCAGCGGTTTATAAAGTGTGAGAAGGAAATGAAGGGAACGTTGAAAATTTGCTCGTAAGAATAGCCTACAAAGGTGAAGTTTATACGTTAACGTCTGGATTTTTTTTTTTTTTTTAACAATTGTGGTAACTCATCATCAGGGGTTATCCACATCCTTCTCCCTTAATTTCTTCTCAACAGATAATTTCGCTTAAAGGAACTCGTTACACTCGTCCTTAGTTCCTCTTCTTAAACGTTTCCACTCTGTTAATGTTGGTTTACTGGTATTTTCATAGCGAGTAAAGAAATAACCGCCTGTCGAGACCAAACTACCTCGGTACATGTCACTTTCCCTCCTTCTTCATTCGGTATTATTAATTATTGTCCGATATTTTACATTACCAGAAACATGGCACCTCAAATCCTCCCGATAACGTTAATCCGAAATTTCATTCGTTATTTTTCTGCATAACTGCCTTGGAAAGAACAATCGAAACTACAGAAACGGCTTTTTTCATTACAAAAGTATCTATAAACGTTAGGCCGATAATGGTTTGACCATTTGCCATCCCAGGGCGATACGCTAAGACGATGGCGCAGCTCTTGGCCCCACCCATTTTTCAATTATATTATTATAAACAGTAAAAATTCGTGTTTCAAGTAGCAGAATGGTCTGGTAGAGTATTGTGAATGCTGAATCGATAAATATTTACGTAGATCTTCATCTTGGATGCTGTGCTCAGTATAACTTTGTAGATGTTTCAATTTTTCAACAGTATTAGTACTGTCCATTATTAATTATTTGGAAATTTGTGCTATATTATTATTTATTGAAAATCATTGTTGGTTTTGGATAACCTATAGATAGATTATTTATTAGATGGTTGATATTTCTCACGTACTGATTATAATAATATAAATGCCTATTATTAGAATAGATATATAATTACTTCCGTAACTTTTAATCAAATTTTTATGAAAAATAAGAAGTATTATGTTTTTATTTAAAAGCAAATATCATTTTCGTGAATATTACAGTTAAATACCATTAGAAATAACTGATGAATCAAAATAAACTTCTTAACAAGTGTCTGAATTAAATTAGTAAAGGATTTAAATTTTTATATTTTTGCTATAAAACAGTGTTTTTCATATCTATACAAAAGATATAGAATATAGAAATTTCTTAATTATCTATTTATATTGAGTCTTTTGAAAATGAATTAGTTATATATATTACAGTATATAGAAATATAATGTATAATTAAATTTCTAAAATTTTCTAACTTTTTATGAAATTTTTTTCCCATCCACCATTTAAAAACAAGCAGCTAAATATTTTAAACTTACGAATAAAAGTGGGATATTTAACTTAAGTTTTTTCGAACAATAATCAAATGTTATAAAAGAAATAGTTGTTGATCAAATAAATTTATTCAATTAAGAAAACGATATTGTATGCATAAATATTCATTTTCTTAAAGTTTCTGTCTGCCTATCATTAATCATAAAATAAATAATTAACGTTAAGTTTTAAAAATTTACAGAGGTTTTTCGAATTTTCGCATCTGACGCTTATAAAATCATTAAATGAGTTCAACATATACTGTAATTAAAACAAAAAACAAAAAACAAACGAACAAACAAACAAAAAAACAAAAAAAATTAATAGAATTTTAAAGACTTTTAAGGTACATGAGAAACAAACGTATAATTGTATTTATAATACGAATACCATAATAACGGCCACGAAGCCAATAAATGGAAAAATATTAATTATGTTACTATTACTATTACGTTAATTGCTACTTTTATCTAATAAATTCAAGTCAGTTTTCAAGCAGCATTACATAATTAATGCCATAAATAGTTGATATTGAAAAATTATAAAATTACGTATTTTATAATTCATTTTAATTATAACCACTATTATTGTTAATATTTTAAATTCACGTAACAGCTACACATTGGTTCTATGCTCATAGATGTTAACTTCAACATTTTATGGAAGAATGGCATTTAATTGAAATTAAAATAATACTGTAGGTAATGTTTAATTAATTTAGAAATGAGTAATACCGTAACGCACAAGCGATATTATCTTATTTATTTGGTGATTTTCCATCGTCCACAATAGTTTTGTGACAAGTCCTTGTATTCTCGAAACGACAGTTTATTGATAGTTTTCTCGGTCGTCGGTTGTTAGAAGCGATTCTGATTTATTGTACATTTTTATCTATTGTCTTTGTATGGAATGCTTACGACAAATCACAAACGCAATTTAATGTATCCTCTATGTCAATTGTGCTTACTTTGGCAGAAGGTAGAGACGATTGCCTTTTCTGAATTTTGTTCAACCCATCTAGATTGTATAAATGTGCATTTATGCAATATTTTAGAATAATTAAACATGCGTGTCATTAAAATATTTTTGAATTATAGTAGTTTGTTTTCAAATGGAATTATTTAGTATTGTATCTACTAGGTAAATATATAGAAAAATTGGTTGTATTCATTAAATTGCCACGATAACATGATCAATTAGATATATTTATCATTAATTATTTTAAGTATTATACGTTCGAGCCATTAAACTGTTTATTGATTGTCATTTATATTTGTTTGAGCATATCATACATCTTTACATGCGGCCTTTAACTATGCAATTGTATAATCATGCTAATAAAACATGGTTATAACGTTAAATGGCATTCGAATTGTACCTTATGTTGTACTTTTGATTTTGTAAAACATTTACTTTAACGAAAGAAAAAGGATATTTTGATTGATAATTGATATGAGAGAGAGAGCACATTAATATTTAATTAGTGAAATACTTGTAATTTTCTAAACATTTTTTTAACGTAGATATCCATAGAATGTAATTTAATCTTTCAAAGCTCTAAGAGTGATAATACGTAAAAAATATAAATATGGCGAAATAGAAAGTCATTGTTTATTTTTCATAAATGTGATAAGTTAAGTGTGACATTGTAATTTCAACATATATGGAAAAATGTATCGAAGCTTATGTAAGTATGTTGATAAATTCAATCCTAATACACTTATGGGCGCATGTACATTCGCAACACACGCGATATCGATACACATATATGTTTATAGAAGCAATGCATTAAAGGACACAACTTTTAAAAGTCTGTGTAAAGTCCTACAGCAGTTCCGCGATGTCATTTCCGCGTCTTCATCGTCTTTGACGACGTTGCCGTCTACCACCCCACTCGAGTATACATAAGCGACCGTGTCTCAACTTTTGCACAACTTTGCATAATATAAATTATGCAGATCCCGATTGAAACTTTAAACGCAGGAAGATGAGGCGAGATGTGCATGAGCTGCTACGTCGACAGCCGTGGGGCGGAATACACAATTGTAGTTGGTTCAACGAAAAGGGAGAGAAACGAAGATGAATCCGGATACATGTAAGATTATGCGTTGGGATAGTGCTTAGGTCGGGCAGTAGTAAGAAGGAAAGTTGAATGCGGTAGAAAGCAATGAAAGGCAAACGAAAGATGTCAAAAATTGCAATATAGGTAGTGCATTTTATCTACAGCTACTGTTCAATTTTTAACTAATGGGTAAATTTATCAAAATTATGTCATTAAATTATATGATTTTTTTAATTCAATAGTATTTCCAAATCGAAATAATATGTCCATTATATTGACTATATAATCGTATTTCAGGTTATGCTGAAAAATACTTTCGATAGAATAAAATACAAAATTAACAATGAGAAAATAGTTAAATATAATTAATATTATGAAAATAACTATTGAATAATATAGATGTCGAATAACAATAAATAAAATAATGTAACATTGAATTTTCGTAGAAAAATATTTTGAATGGAAACATTGAATGTCCATTATGTAAATGAATATATAAAAATATTTTCTAAGGATAATAGAATCAGTGTTAATATTCATCTGGCTATATTTTTCATTAGGTTTCATTTTCTTCTATATTCTAGTAAATTGTGTAAATTAAAAATAAATGAATGTAAAGGTTAAATAATTACTACACTAATCAAAGTTTTCATGTATATGTTAATACGCTCGAAAGAAATATACTTCCGTTTTATATTGTAGATATTGTGTAAGGTATTCTCTCTCGAGAAGTA